TTATATGGCTCTATCCACTTTTTCCACCTACATGTCCTTTACAGTTCAGGTGCAGCTTCAGGAGAGATATAAACATGACTTGGAAGTTACTTAAAGGATCTATATATGACAGGATAAAGATGAATAGTGTGTTTACATGGTCATCTTTGCCAGACGAGAGCAATGAGGATGATACAGAAAAGAAGATTCATGTTGTTGATAGAAGTCATAGAGATGGTGTTGTGGGGAACTGTACAATTTTGATGGGTCTAGACATTTTAATATTATTAAGTCTCTGTATTGGTTAGCCCTTAATAGGAGAGTCTTTAAGATCTAAGATGTTCACATACTGTTTTTTTGGTTTTTTTTTTTAAATACAAGTACTCAGAGCAGGAAGAAGTACCATGTTATAGAAGAGAAGGAGTGATCCATTTAGGTGTGTTAGAAGCCCTTCAAGATGAGAGTAAAGAGAATCAAATAGTCAATTTTGTATACAGATACACAGCAAATAAAATTTATGTTCAAAATTAGCATTGTTATTTGAAAAAAAACATAGAGACAGTATCTTTAGAATTATTTCAATGCATTTAAAACAGAAAGGCACAAATATTTATACTGTTCTTTGAAGTTCAAAAGCATAGCCCTGTATTTGCTCTAGTGCAAATGTAGACAGAATTTCTTCCTGCATGTTTTTAGTTTTCTGAAGTAGTTGTAATTGAATTAACATTTCCCACTAGCCAGTTAACTGAAAAGAAGAAAAAAATAGAAGAATAAAGAACTGCCTCTTTTTATATATCAGTGAAACAAGACGGAGCAGCAAATACTATTGATGGAGGTTCACTGGATTAGCTACAGAGTATGACCATACAGAAGCTGATTTTTATAGTGCTGAGCTTACCCTTACAACTTCTTCAGTAGCACTGCTGAGACCACAGAACATTTACAGAGCATGCGCTAGGCTCTATGGTAACCCTGCCCCACTGACTGAAGAAAATACCTATTTTTTTAATGCTCCTTAGATTTTGTTTGCTCTGAATCACAAACATAAAACTGCCCTGTATTCTAACTGTACTAACTAGATTCTTAATCTAGACTGAAAATCATCCTAGATACACCAAAAATCAATGAAAGCTTTTCTAGTGAAGTCACTACGGGACTGGTTTTTCTATTATATATCTCTATGTTCACTCACAATACAGCTTGTTTGGGAAATAAAATTTCATTGATAATTAGAAGTAGATTAGTTTGATAAACCAATTCCTGACATTCTACCTGTACCATAAATGTTCACGAGGTTCATTTTCAAACACACCTAACTGTAGAAAAAAAATTATTGCAGTTTTTTCCCCATCATATTACTCCTAAAAGAAGTCTGGATTATTTCAGGCATGGCAGGTAAAGCTTTTGAGCTTCTGGTTACTTCTGCAAAGAATATTTAGCCATCCCTCTTTATTAGAACCGAGGTTTCTCTGTCTGAACCATCTCTTGTCCTCTTGACTAGAAAAGTGGGATGAAATAGACACATTGGGATAATCTTGCTCTCAGGCTGATTCAACTGAAAGAAGCAAGACTTGTTTTGATAACTATGATTCCTCACGTCAAAAAATATGAAAAGTAAACCAAACCAGCCTATCTTGAGAGTTGCATGTATAGCCTATATCCTAAAAATATTCACCCCTTTTGATAAAAAAAAAGGGGGAGAATATTCTCAGACTTTATTTCTGCACATGGAAACAAAGTAGTCCAGTAATAAAATACAAAACAGTTCCAGAGAGGATGCCTCAAGTAAGGATTGCATGCAACATATATTATATATTTCTGATTATATTTTTCCTGATGGCATGTGAGTCCTTCTTCTTCTGTGTCTTCACATATTTTGATTTCCCTGCTTTCAGAGGGACTTTCCCTGCTATTGGCTAAGCCAGAAACCATAGATAAATCAAGAAAATGTGCAGACTTAGTTTTGAGGTTTTTTGGGTTTGGTTTTAGGTTTGTTTTTTTTTTTTTTTTTTTTTTTTTTTTTAAAGCCATTGCAGCTTGATTGATTCCATTTACAGCTTTCCTCTATGAGTGAGCTGCAATCCAGGATTTCTTTGAAGATGCTTTTCCTCAATTTTATTCCATTTCTCTCTAAGAAGGTGAGGCAGTACTTCAGGCTTATGTAGAGAGGAACATGAGAGTGCTTCAGCTGGCACTTTTAAATTGAGGCAATTCTGGATTTTCTGAAGAGAAACTGAAGAAAAAAAAAAGGCTGAAACTCCATCCTCTGCATAAGCCAGTACAAACGATGTTGAGATATGTATTGAGTGAAACATCATGGCAACTGGCAGTATCTTGTTATATGTTACAAATGTCATGCTGGTTGCTGAACCCTACTTCTTAAAAAAAAAAAAAAAAAAAAAAAAAAAAAAGAAAGAAAGAGAGAGAGCTCCTGAGGGAATAAAACCAAAGCACTATTTTTATATCAGCTGGGTATGCCTTCAGAGTGAACATACTATCAACTTACTTCTATCTCGGTCAAACTGTTTGGTTTTGGTTTTTGTTTAAACACTGTCAGTCATACTGAGAGTTACAGGAGCTATAAACTAAAACTTTTGTAACTAAAAATGTGGGGTGTTTTCCTCATGCACAAGATGTCACTGAGATGTTGGGTTAGTTACTGTCCACAAAACCTGAAAATTGGAAAAAGGGAGCTGTTTCCCAGGCTGAAAACCTGTCGGTAAATTACATGGAAAGAGCTTCTGTGCTAAATTTATCAATAACAGTTTCTCAGAATTACTTGTTTAAAAAAAGGTGTCAGGATATATTGTAGCTTATGATTGATTGTCAGCTTTGTTCTTCAGCCCTAATCTTCTGCAAAAATATTAACAACATAAATCTTTAATTTTATCTTCAATGTTATTTTGTTTCTGCCCAAATATTATTCATTTGTTACTGACATTTAAACCCTTAGCCTGGTGAGTGATGCTTATTGCAAATCACTGTATTGAACAAGGATACTACGCGTGATACGGTATTTTTTTTATTACAGCAGCATCTAGAGGCTTCATCTGAAATTATATTTCCTCTGCTAAACACTGTGTGAACACACAGTGAGGCAGTACCTGCACTACCTAGCTCTCACACATTCCATGCAAAGAAAACCCCAAACAAACCAAATCACCAGTACCCAAACACTGGTGACATGCTGAGACTAAAACAGATTTTGACAGTGCATAGAAATAAAAGTAAGATCTTGGAGACAACCCCATTTTATTTATAAGACACATAAGCCTTTCCCTGAGAATCACATTCCCCAGTCAGTCAATGAACCAATGCCTAAAGCTGGTTCAGCAAAGTTTTCAGGCAGGATTTCTGATGCTTTACCACTTTCTGACTGCAAGGGCTTTAAGGTTGCTGTCCCATACAGAAGACTCTTCTCTTAACTTCATGTTGGCGAAAGTGTTTTAGATAACTATTTTTAAGAATGTTGATATTCAGGCAAAAAACAGCTTAACCCAATTTTAGGATTTCAGTAAGGACTTTGTTCTGTTAATGATTGAGATGGCAGACAGTGACATTTATTTTATGGTGACTATCAAGCTGAGAAATGGGATAGATGTGCAAATAACGTTTCACTGAAACTTTTGTCTCTCTTAGAGTAATTCATAACAATCACCTCAAGATATTTAGGAATTGATGTGGATATTAAGGACAGCTGGCCCCAAAAACATTTTAGAGAGGGGAAACTAAAATTTCTCTTGTGACAAGAGCTATGGAATTCAAGTTTTGAGTGTGACTGGGAGATGACATTCAAGTTGGTCATGAGATCAAGAGTGGCATAGCTGAATACAGAGCACCTGAGCCATACATACATTTCTTCGCTGGTGCAGGATGTCCCTCAGTTGCCAGCAAAGATGGGACAGCAGAGAGATTTGAAAGAACAAACCTAACTGAGTAGTGGGCTAGACTGAGCTGGTTAGCATTTGGCTAACTGATGTAAGAGCTCTCCAGGAAGGAATCTCAGGCTCTCCTGAAGATTGCACAGGCAGCTTCTGCTATTCTTATAATGATTTTCCATGTGTCAATTAAGAACCTGGTAATATCATGGAGACTTTCCAGGTAGTTCTTGCAGCAGAACTGACCAGGTTGCACTTCCAAATAGTCTATAGAGCCTGTTCCTGCAGGTGCAGAAATGGTTCTATAGTGTGGTCTTGTACATAATTAAGACATAAAGGTGGTATTTTGGGTATAGCTTATGTTAATCAATAGCAATGGATCATGCACATGCTGGGTGCCCATGTAAAGCTGTGGGCCAGTAGGACTGTAAGATTTCAGCAAAACAAATTTCTCACTGAAGGTGCAGTTGCAATATCCTTGCAATTGAGGCTTTTGTTGCCCTGCAGAAAGGCCCCATCATGTTTGAGAGCTCTGACTCCTAAAGCCAAAATGAATAACTTTGCTTTCTAGAAGGCACTTTCTCTGTTCTATGTCTCTTTCCAACAGATTTAAGTGGAGTTACAACTGGAATATCTGTTCCAGTGTGGAATTTGCAATCACTATCCACAACAGAGACAAAAAATGTGGCAAAACAGCATGGAAATAAAATGTTAAACAGACCAGACCCTACAGGAACTAAAATCATCTGGTTTTCTCTAGGTTTCCCAAGAGTAGATCACAGCTATAGGTAAAGGACTACAAGTAGTTATAAAGTGTATTAATTCTACTTGCAAAAATCTCTTTATGGGCTGTCACAAGTGAAATTTTGTTAGTATAAGACTTGAAAGGCACAGAAGGATAGAGATAGTCGCATTTCACATGAGTATACTTACCTGATAGGTGGTTATGATGGCATCACATGACCAAAGAAGATGCTGTTGGTAATCATTTATATGGAATTTCCTTGTGGTCGAGGTCATGAAAGGAATTACTTCCCAAAAATAATTTTAATTTACACAACCAGAAATAAAAATATTTTATGTGGTGAGAATCATTGCTCTTCAATCAGCAATTGTTCTAATTCTGAAATTAATTTGCATTACCTGGGTTTGGTGTTCCAGTTTTATATTGCCTTGAATTGAAAAACCTGGAATAATGAACATTTAAACAGAAGTAAAAAAGTGATGTTCTGTACGTTAAAAAAGACTAGGCAGTAATACTGGCCAGTAAGTTTTGTGCTGATAATGGATATGCCAAATCCTCAGCTACTATCACATCTATGCAAGACTATATCTATTTTACTGACAGAGGATTTGTCTGAAAGTCCTACAAGATTAATGTCACTAAACACTTCCCTTGTTCACCTTTAGTAACCATTTAACAAACTGATGAGTTAATGACATTCACACGTTTCTTAGAAAGTAGCTCTCTACCAAGTTTGCCACAGTCCTTATCATGCATAAATAATATCAATTAAAAGTATTTAGATTAAAGCAAGAGTGAAAGAAGCCTTAAAGCAGTTCAGTGATTTACGTTGATAACCTAGCATTAATCAGTGTTAATTTTTCACTCAATCCTTTTTGCACTTAGAAGCAGTGTGCTACTAAGTCTACTGGTTCAAAAAGTATATTCCAGATGGGTGTGTGAAATACTTGATTTCTCTCTTTTTTTTTTGAAAATCTGATTTGATGAATTTGGGGCATACAAGCCATGATTAAAAATTTATAAAGCAGCAATTAACTTTTAACAAGTCTATGTAAAATGCAGTATAAATAGCAAATTAATAACATAAGCCACAGACTGACAAAGATCTACAATATAATTTCAATTTTTTTTTTTTAATTTACAAAGGAAAAAGCTTACTCTTGAATTATTGGTATAAGTTGGGTGCCAAGATCTTCACAGTGAAACCATTTTTCAAAGAGGACATCAGTTGATTCTCCAACATAGTATCTGATAAAGTAAACACATTAGTCAATCCTTTTATTAACTAACTGATCAGACAGTTTCAGTCTTTTGAAGAAAATAGCTACTTGATGTTGTGTAAGAGCAACTTATTGTCAAGCCTGGTGGACTTCATTCTGAGGAATGGTTATTTGGGAAAGCTTTCTGTTTTCCTGGTTAAGTGACTTGGTGGTGGGGTGCTCAAACTTCTGTGGAGTGCCTTGTAGTACTGTTGATCAATCACAACTCACCAAATTCCTTCAGCAACCTTTCCCGATTTCATTCTGGAAATGATTGCTGGCCATAATCTCTTGGGACCAATACTTTCACCTTGGATGTAGTTACTGCAAGAAAACCTGGACCCAAATACCATTTCCAGTAACTGCTTCCGTGCCGCAATGACATAAATACCCATATTGATAGAGTCAGCTTACTTAATGCCCATGCAGGGGCTGATAAAAAAACAAGGTGGTTATGGACTTGTTAGTGAAAAATAGATGGTTTTCAGCTACACAGATTTGGGAAGTGTTTGAGTGACCCCTCTGAAGAGGAATTTAGTGCTTCACTTGCGTTAATTTCTTGTCTTAAATAAATAAATTTTGGTGAGGTCAACCAGTCAAGGTTGTTGTATGGAATCAATCTAAGGACTGGCAAATATAAAATTTACAATCAGATTTTTAAAAGACTGCAAGACTGGAAAGGAATGATGCTCCAGTCCTGTCACATATATTGTCAGTGTTTTTAAAAAGGTCCTGTGTGTCTTTTAGATTAAAGTTACTGGAATGTGTGTCTGAAGAGGAAAACAAAACTTATGTAATTATCCTGTGCATATCTGTATGTTCATGTTCTGTCTTATGTATCTATACATATATTGTCCAGAAATTTTCTAAGAGCTCCCTGGCTCCTCATGTTTTGCAAAAAGAGGATACACTGAAGAGAATAACACTATCTACACCTCCAATTTAGAAAAAGCTGTGCTGCCATCACAAAATCTAAAACCACAGACAATCTACAGAGAAGGGAGATACTAAATATGTCTTGTTTGGTACAAATAAAGTATCTGACAATATGAATAACATTAAACTCATTTGGTTTCGTACTTATTTGCCATAGAATTAAGAGTAGCTAGATCATTTTTCTCATAGCACAAGACAAGTAATCATTACTTAGGCTGGAACATTGGAACAGGCTACTTATTCTTCACTTGTGCAGTAATCAGCATGCTGGGAGCTCTGATTTATGACTATGGTTTGTAGACACCATAAATAATGGAACAGTAACACAGTATTAGACTCTGAGTCAGCATACTTCAAAGTGCATTAGGATTTCCTCTTGTGCAGTCTTTGCTGCAGGTGGCTGGTGTTGAAAAAAGTAAGAGGACATTAGGGGCTCTGGCAGTAAATTCCCCTATCTCCCAGGAGCACACAGAGGGAATGTAGGTTCAAAAGCATGACAAGATTTCTCACTTCCAAAATTTCAAGTGTCTTTATTCACCACATCGGTGTGAAAACAAGGGCACTGAAAACCCCTGATTTATTTTCAGGCATCTGATTAGATACTTTGAATTGATGATGTGTTAATTTCCACCTGCAAGCCATAAGGTAGCTTTTAGTTTAGCTTCTCCACATGAGCATGCCTATATTGGAGTGCAAATCTTTAGATCAGCCTGGATCCCTAAAAAGGCATTCAGCATTTCTCTGTCTCATACCATTCACAGACTTCACATGGTAGGTTGTTTTACTTTAGGTGAAGTTTACTTTACTATTTAAGTTCTTTTTTTACTATTTAGTCCTTTTTATTTTAATAATAAACTTTTTCATCTAAATCACTGGTAATTTTTTTTTCTAGCTCAAAGTATCATTTAAATAATGTAAGTCCAGACAATCTACTCATCTGCAATGAAAGGAAAAGAAGAGACAAGTGCATAGGTAAACAATACTTTAAATGAACTGGACTTGTTTTTAGCTTGAAATTTAGTCGTGTGTTTCTTTTCTTGAATGGTCCCTTTCTTAGTTTCTTTCCATAGCCTTTTTTTTCTTTAAATGAAAAAGTATATCTTTCTAGCTCTGCATACTTGCAATCTTCCTGCTGTGGCACTACCTGTGCAACAATCAAAATTGTAGGTGAAAGGACAGGAACAGCACTTTACAGATATCTCTGCAGTTTTAAATATGTACGGATTATATGGACAGCTATAAATTCTGCTTGGTCTGTCATCTCTGGTTAATACCAAGACAGCTTTTCTAGATTTTTCTAAGGTTATACTGTTGTGACTTTCCCTCTTAGACTTGTGAATTCTGTATGGACACAAGACAAAGCTTAGTCCTGCTCTCTCTAGAATACAAAGCAAATCACTCACTTACATGAAGATGTTTTTCTCAAAAGGCAATAAAACCTAGGCAGAGGTGTGTACAGTGTAGAGGGACTAGTGGTGAGAAAATTGACTTTTGTTTCTAGCTTCCCACACACTTGACAAGAAAGCTGTTCTTCTTTTTGCTTTCAGTGCTTGCAAAGGAATTAATATTCTGCTTGCCAGAACTGATAAAAAAATCTTTTTTATCTGGGTTGTTAGAGAGCTCTGAGATTTTTTTTTAAACTTAAGGCAATAGCAGTACATAGTAGATAAGTAGATTGCTATAACCACAACATGTATTTTAGAAATTTCAATATGGTCCTTGTTTAACTAAAGCAAATGCTAAATGAGATCTCTGTTTATGTGTGTATGAATAGATGTGTGGATAGAATTAGTACAAAATCGCTGGGATGAATCTGATAAATTATCAGGAAATTAAAACACAGCATTGTATTGCTATGAGAAATCAGTTTATATTATTAATTCGAACAGATTAGTCAATAGTTTATACTTCACCTTAGCCCATCCATTTCTGTTTTTAATCTTTCCCTCTCAATCACAAGACCCACAGTGTTTTTGTATCTCTGAGGAGAATGAGGTACCCTGGCAGGTAGCAGGAACATCTGTTAAAAGAAATCAGAAAGCATCAGTGTCAGGAAGTCTTTGTTTTTTGCATTGTCCTTTTCCTGCCCCTCAACGTGTAAAGTCTTCTGTTCCTTTCCCCACTTCTCCCCTACTTTTTGTTGATCCCATGTTGTTCCTTTGCAGCTGCACCCACTGTGGTACCCACAGCCCTGCAAACACTGTTTCTTGCTTTCTCTGTGAATGATGACGCAGTGACTGCAATCAGCACTGCCTTGATGGCAGGCAAGTTCTCTCCTCCTGGTTTGATCATCATTGCTAGACACAATTGAAATGAAAATCTAATCAATTTCTCTTCTGAAATTTATAAACTTACTGCAATTTCTGAGTAATTGAAATGGAAATAAAAAAGCAGGTTTTTTGTCTGCTCAATAAAATGTCTAAATTGATCAGCCACGTGTATCCTCCCAACACAGTGAGCACCTTTGATTGCATGATTGCACGATGAGGAGTGCTACTCTCTCTGAAAATAAATAACAAATATGAGGGGCTGTTTACTCAAGCAAGTGACAAAGTGAATAGGCAACATCTGGTTAAGAGAAGTCTATTTCTGAACCTTTCCTAGCAGCTAGCTGGTTAGCCTGTATTCTTCACCAGTACAGATGTTTTTGCTAAGGCTGGGCAGTCATTAGAGTTTCTCTGTCTACAAAACAGAGCTAATGATGGTGCCTTAGTAGTATGAGTGTCAGTCTTCCCACCAAGTATTGTGTGCTCCTTTTTGCTAGTGCTTCTCTTACACGCTGAGATCTCAGCTGGGTGTGCTCCTGCAGTGTGAAGTGTAATACCAGAACCTCGTAGTTGGAAAACGTGGCTCTGTTTCATCACTGAAACAGTTGTAATGCTTTTAATGGCATTAAGCTATTGGGTTTAACACGCCTTCCATTTTAAGGGCTGTCTCCACAAGATCTAATAGTCCTTTCAAAGACTTGAGTGCAGTCCAAGCTTGTGACAGTGAGTGGCAGTTGTAGTATACATCTAACTCGCAGTAACAGCCAGTGTGTATTCACGCTCTTGGTAAAAGCACTGAAACCTATGCTTTAGCAAGTGTACTACTATAAGGAAAAATTGGATAAATTTTATTTGTAAACGGCTCTTTTAAAGCTGTCCTACTGTGATGGCTGGAAAGGAAAGCTGTGAGGACTAAAGAAGGCTGAAAATGTATGAATCATTTAAATTCCTCAGTTTAGGCAGTTTGCTTAATGGTGTGTGTAGGTGGGTGAGCAGTGTGTACCTGGCAAGGTGTGAATAAAAGCCTGATCCAACAGAATTCACATGGCAGATCCCATGCAATGCAGGGGAATAAGAACTTCTCTCAGTATGCTCTGGACTATATGAATATATACCCAAGATGTTCAGAGGGATTTTCATCTGTTATTGAAACAGTCAAATGTTGAACACAGTTTATTGTAGTTTCCTACTATTTTCTTAAAATTTTCCATTCAAGCTTTTGGCTGGTTTTTTTTTAATAAATCCTGATGCCATCTTTTGCACAGCAGGGATAAATTGGTTTCTAAATAACATATAAAACATTTGGTTAACATACTTATGTACAACTACAACAGAAAAACAATCCCATTTTACCTCCCCTTCTCGGATGACAACGTCTTTGTGTTTCCCATTTTCAATTATCTTCAAACACATTTCTCCTTGAACCTGGTAAAAAAGCTGAAGAAATAAAAATATAGCATTAAGGCAGCTACTCCAAGACATTCTGTGCTTTATATTCTCTATACAAAGAATACATGTATAAATACATTCAATTTGCAGTTGCAAGTATTAGCAGAATTTTTTCTAACAACTGGCTTCTAAAATATGTTGATTTTTAAAAAGTTACAGAATATGTATTATTTCTATTATCTTAGTAATCTATCCAAGAGGTCTGTAATTGCATATAGAGCTATCCTCTGCACCTGGTGGAATTCCATTGACCTGGTTTTACCCTTGGAATTACTTTTTGGAGGGCTCAACATTACAGTTCAAGCACCCATTAATTACACAATATAGAAAGCTTAATTTCAAATGTAGCAGAGTCTTTAATCAATCAAATTATATGTCAGTTCTCCAAATAAGCTCCAAATATGCACACACAGGGTTTTTTTTGTGTACTTTTTCAATTTTTTAATGGCGCTTTCTCATTTGGGAAGAATTGCCCATTTGGAAGCTGTTCTGCTTTACTTTTGTGGATACCCTCAAATCCAGCAACAGCTGCTGCTCTTCCCACTGTTTATATGTAACAGGGTTAAATTCAAAGTGTCTATAAGGACAGAACCACTGAACACAAAATTCTATCTTGGGTGATACAGCTGTTTTCAGACCAAAACCTACTCTGCTTTGTGGGGGCTCTGAGGTGTTCGGGTCCTCATGTTTCATGACAGAACTGGGTTATGATCTGTAAGCAGATCTGTATCCTTGATCTGAAATAATGGGCACATTCCCCCTCATTTTTATATAGTGCAGAGCAATAATATTTTCAGAAGTCACTTCTGCCATGCTTTCCATGTTCTCTTTACCACATCTAGAAACCAGAGTGCTAGTGCAGCTGAAGTAGTCTGAAACATGATTCAAAGTTAGAAATATAATTGAAAAAATCCCTTATGTATAGCAAGTCTCTACAATTTCATCAAAATGAAAAATAAATAGGGGAAAGAAGAAACCACTGAAGCATGAAAATCCCCTGAACTGAACTCCTTCCAACATTAGAAAAGCTTAATCAATTTTTAAATCAGTATTATTTCTGAAAGAGTTTTGAAATATTAATACATGCCCCCTGGAACTGAAGAAACACCTCTGTGAGTATGAGAAAGAATAAATATGCTGCCAAGGGAACAAAACAATAGGGAGAACTGAAGATACACTGGAAAAAAAGCTCATGCTGAAAGTTTAAATGAGTGAAAAGTTCACCTTGTGCCAGGGACATCACTACAGATAAATTATAACTCTTGTCTGGAAGGCCACAGTGCCAGGCTACTGATCCTCACTGCAGCCTATACCTCTGTGTTCTTTGGCTCTGGCTTTCTTTGGCATTTCTGCAGGGCAGCACCCAATGCTACAGCAGCTCTCCCTCCACTGGACAGGGCCAGGTGCTCCCTGCATGACAGAAAGTGATCTGAGCGGGGAAATGGCCTCTCCTCCAGGTCATAGAAGATTCATCTAAGACTGTATGATCTAGATGGATTGTCACATCAGCTGTGGGTCATATGGCACTGATAATGCTGAAACCTAAAGTATAATTTTGGAAATCGTGAGCTTCAGAAGTGTTATTTCCCCTGCAGCTACTGGGGCAGCTATTACTGAACCCATGCACAGGACTTGTAGATGAGGAAAAGGACTACAGAAGTAGAGTTTATCCTGGTTCTGACATGAATCATGCAGCTGAGAAACCTTCCTGGAAATTAAAAACTTGAGAATGGATGTCCAGTTCAGAGGTGAAGCATTACAGTCATAAGGAAAGATTATAAACAGTAAGTTATGAATTAAAAGAACTGTTTTGCAGTGGGAGAGGAGGAATGACGTGGGCTACACATTGTCAATGAAAGTGTTTTTCTGACTGAATTTAAATAGTACCTTTCACTGTATATTATGGTCTATTCTTCAAAACTTTTTTCTTTTTAATTGTCTGAGTGCTTCACTCATCCATAAATCATCCGATGTAACTGTGATTAATACAAGCAGCAGCAATTAGTGAATATACTGCTTTACTTATAATATAACCTGAACTTTTTACTAAGGAAAATTTCAGCTATTTAATATCTCAGTGAGTTACAGTCCACACCCATTTCAGAGGCCAGATTGGCAGCAGAGTACTGTCTTTTTGCTGGAAAATTATTTTTTCTAAATACTATCTAACTTTTGCCTTTTGGGCAAATCTCATGTTTTCCTAAGTCTCTCTTGAAAAAAAAAATCAAAAAGAAAATTCAGGTGTACATGTGTGCATAATATACACCTATATAGATAGGATAGTAAGCCAGTAGAGTTCATACCACTTGAAAATATAAGTTTCCCAGCTGCACTGCTCTTACTGGAATAATCTAGTATCCATTCTCCCCAGCAGTACTAAAAACTGAGGAAATGTGCAATATTTTTGCTCTATTAACATGTTATTAACGACAAGGCCTCTTGTTACATGAAATGTATATGTATCTCTTGTAGAAAAGCCTAGATTTGTCTATTGCTACTGCATAATAGCTCACAATTGGGCATGAATTTTGTCCTTTGGGGTGAAAAACGTGTCTCAAGGAAGAAACAAAAGTTCTTCACCATTGTTTTTATCCTTCGTTACTAAATGTGCTTATTTATTTATTGTATCTTCCTTTCTTCTTCTTCTTTTCCAGAGGTCAGCATTTTGTTTAGTTTTCTGCTTACTACGTGGTATCTTCTCATTATGATTACACTAAAAACACCTCCTTTATTAATGCTCCTTTATTAATGCTCATCTTACCTCTAGAAGTTATGAAGCACCTAGGAGTGCTTTTTTGCCCCAAGCGTAAGATTATTTCATAACATTACTCAATATGACCATTAAAACTGCAGAAATACCTACAAAACTCAAATAAAAACACCTTAAGACTGAGAGGGTTTTTTTTAAAATTAATTTAATTTCCCTTAAATTTTCTTTGTTATAGGAGAAATACATCCTCCTTCCTTAGTCTGCTTCATCCTTTTTGATCATGCTTCAAACCTGATAGTATCATGCCTGCAGGGGAAGGTAGAGTGGCCAGTGCTGAATCCCTCTCAATTCTGTACAGTGATATTCCATTCAATTATGAATACTCACAGAAAAAATTATGCTGAAGAGGAGGTGCACAGAGGTAGGAATTCACTGTTGCCATCAGTGGAATCATTGCTGAAACTGCTTGTCTTGATGGAAATTTCATCAGGGTAGTAGAACAAGGAGATACTACCTTAAAAGAAGTCCTAACATCCTCACTATATTCTCACCACCTAGCGTGGTGAGAATTGCTCCTTCATCCATGTATGTGTATCCTAGCAGAGTAAACAAAGAAGCATCTAGCAGTGGAAGAATACAGGATTTGAAATTGGTCTGTATTGACTAACTAAAAGACCCACAAGTCTATTTTATTTCATGTACAGCAGTTTATGTAATTTAATTTGGATCCACCTTTGATTTCAAACTCTGCCTAGACACAGGAACCCAGAGCTCCATGAGGGCTTTGATAGCAGACAGCTTACTTACAGACCTCTAAAGAGATCTGTAATTAGCAGGATACTTTGAGTTCTGACTGCATCTAAAAATGGAATTTGGGATTGCTCAGCCACTTCTGGGATTAGGCTCTGGCTTGGTATATCCTGGCTTGTATTGCTTGTCATATGGCTAAGCATTAAATTAATTTGCAGAGCAAATAAAATTCTGATGTGGGAGTAGAGCCTGGGTCCTCTCCAGACTTCAGTGGTGACTGATCTATTTAAGTATAGAAAAACCATTTTCTCCCTTTCACAAGGGTTTTTCAGTCATCAGAAGTCTACAAGACAAACAGATTAGGAAGGTAGAGAAAACTATTTTTAGGGCTTTTGGTGTGGTTTGTTTTTTTACTTCCCTCTGCTCATTTACATGTCATCTGTGAGACCTGAATACTAGCCAAAACTCACACCAACAATTTTATGCAGCAAAACTATTTCTGAAGACACAATCTCCTTCTGATGCAAAAGGATCATCATTCTTATTAAGCTTTAATAGGAGCTGGTTTTTATTAAAATATTCCAAGATTCTTTATCAGCTAAATGTGGGGATTTTTAAATGGAAAGAAGCAAATGTTTCTCCTGTTTTGTTGTGATTCAGGTTCTCAGATTTATTTGAGATCTAAGCAAGACAAAACAACCTATTGGAATGCTCACCTAGCCACACTTTCCTCTTGTTTTCAGACATCCACTATCCTTATAAAATGCAAATGGAAAATTAATCTGATAGGGAGGAGTTTCTCAAAGGCATGCTGACTGGAGAGCAGCATACGCTAGAAGGAGTCAGGCTTCATTTAGGCAGATAATCTATTAGAAACTGGAGCCAAGTCTTACTTGTGGTGTCTGTGAGAGAGGGAGAGAAAGAGAAATCAAAACTCAGATCAAGAAAACTCAGATGACTTGTGGCAGATGTGACCTCAAACCTGTATCATGTTTCAAGCATGAAGTTGTATCTCAGTCAGACCACGTGAATATGCTAGAAGAAGCTGAAGAAATTCACCAAGATGATCAAAGGAGGGGGAGCTCCTTCTCTGAGAGTTCTCTTCAGGACTGCAGTACGAGGGCTTTGGTCTGTGGGGATGTGCCTGTAATTAGGTGGCTCTATCCATAGGAAACAACATAGATGGTGAGAGCAGAAACTTAGGGTAAAATACAGCACAGTAAGAAGTGTGACTTCTAAATCCAAGTGGGGATTGTGCCAATGCAAATGTCTTGCAGGTGGTAGATGAAAGGCTGATTTGAATTTCTCTGCATGGAACTGTGCTGTTTTACATAGACTCAACAACAGATGCAAATTGCTAAGAAATCAAAGTCAGCAAAATCAAAGTTAGTTGAGATTCACTGTGTGCAAGTGGTGGACTGAGGTGGGTAAAGAGATAGCAGCCTAACTACTTTTGTGATCCTAGATTTTGTGATCCTAGATCTAGATTTAGCTGTTAGCATATGTCACTGTTCCCCAAGGCTGCCCACACAATGCAGTAAATAAATTCTGAAATTCTTGTACTAGAGCTAGGTTTTGTTATGATCGTGGGGTTTCTCTGTCATTAGCTTCCTCCAAAATATATGGTCCCCTTGGGTTTTCACTTATTTCTTTGGAAGAATTTGGGGTTTTTTCCTACCCTCAGGCTTTACAAGTAAAAATGCAGTAAATACACCATGAAGCCTGTAGGCTATGTTAACACTGAAACTCTTCTTGTCACAAATTCTATGGTATGATGAAAAATCCAAGACAAAGATATGTTGAGGACTATTCCCTGGTACCTGCTACCCCACAGCTGTGAGTGATTGAGCACAAGAGAACATAGCCTCAAGCTGTGCCAGGGGAGGCTTGGGTTGGACAGCAGGAAGAATTTCTTCATGGAAAGGGTTGTCAGGCATTGAAATGGCTGCCCAGGGAGGTGGTGGAGTCATAATTCCTGGAGGTGTTCAGAAACAACTGGATATGCTACTCAGTGCCATGGTCTAGATGACAAGGTGGTTTCAGTCAAAGGTTGGGCTTGATGATCTTGGCAGTGTTTTCCAACTTTAGTGATTCTGCAACTCTGTGATCGTGTCAGGCCTGCCACAGAAACTTTCAGTGGCCTCATCAAGTTGACCACACAAGAATTGTAGTCACTAGTCCATGGAACCCAAAACTGTCTTGACAAATGAGGCACATCAAAATAATGATTTATTGGAAACCTTCAGAACTCGTTATGTAGCACAAACACTTCCTAGAAAGTTCTGTCAGTATTAGATACATAGGTCCATCCTCACAGCACTTTTTTGCCACATTCCAAGAGAAGCTGCATTTCCTAAAGCATTTCATTTTGAATGAGTCTGATTTAGAGAGAGAGAATGTCTGAGTAGATGTTTGTTGACTACCTCTATTCTGATGGAGAAGAGAGCAAAAGGGAACTTTACAAATAAGAATGAATATGACTTCCTGGTAAATTCCAGCTGAAGACTGTGAATGGTTTAACACTTGTAAGTTGCAGCTTCATATTTCTCTTTAAAAAACCCGTCCAATGTAACACAGTATCAGGTATGAGACTCTTTTTGTGCAGAATGGTGGCAAAGAAGTAGTGCACAGAAGTTTAAGAAGGCAGTGAAGAGCTATAGAGAAAACTAAGAAGGAACAAAATATAAGAGTTTTTTTAGGAAATGCCTGCTTGTTGAGAGGAAGAAAGAAATTGCGCTAGACTGGCTGTCATTTTAGCCTAAATGGCTGCTCAGGAGACAATTCTAAAAGGCTTTGAAGAGACTTCAAATCAAGTCTCTGGTTTTTTTTCCTCCTAATTAGACAGTCAGACCTAATCTTCCTGATACACCTGCATGTTAATGGCACCAGCAGAGAGCAGCTTGGGAGGATGCTCCTCAGCCCTTATCTCTGCATGCCAACCTTTTGCTGCTGTGAACTGTAGGCTTTCAAGCGCAAGTTCTGCCACAGGACACTCCATAAACTGTGTGATAACAGGCATGAGATAGTGAGTGGACAGATATAAACAATCCTAAATTTAACTTTCTCTCCAACCAACCCTTCTTTGCTGTGGGAATACTAACAGTAGAACAGCATGAGCTAAATTTGCCTGAAGGATTTGTGGGTTTTCACATTCGTGATTTGGCTTGCTGACAGTATGTCTATATACTCTGCCTTCAAATTATCACCCAGAACTCTAAGTTACCCTTTTTCTGACAAAATAATGAGCTGAATATGGCTTTGAATGGTTTTATTTTAATCCCAAGTCTAATTTAGGAATATGCCCTTTTGCTAGGATACTCTCTACCTCACAATTCTTCTCTAATGAGAAACATGGTTCTAAGTTAGATCACAGGAAAGTGTAAATGTGTCTGATAAAAACTATGGTAAAGTGCAATGAATAACTATAATGTACTTTTATAAAACTGAACAAAATTGGCCCATATGTTAAACTGGGACATAACTGATAATGCTTCTGATGTGTGTATTGCCAAGTTTCCGATGTTACAGGGTTGTTATGTTTCCATCTTTGGTTTTTGAATGATTGTGAGAAGCCTACTATGTAATGAGCATGTACTGATAAAAACCTAAAAACCCCTTGTTTCCACTTGAGTTAGCAACAACATCAATATGCAACAGTAAATGAAAAATTATGCCTTTATGGATATGGTTAACTTTTTATATTGTTGAGAAGTCACAGAAATAGTTTATAAAAGGATAGGCCAAGTTATTTACAAATACAGGAACATCTTCCAACATGAAAAACAACAAAAAAAGTTAAATTAAATCAGCCTAATTTTCATTTTAAGGAATCCCAAACAGCGTGATGGCCTGGTCCCAGATGCTGCCAAAGCTCACCCTGCACAGCCCATGAGAAGGGACACAGTGCACTGTGCTGGTAACCTGGTCCGTGATGGATATGCCTGTGCCCACAGCCACAGGTGGGCTAGGAGATGGGAGTGACAATCCAACACAGGTGGGAGTCACCCAGTGATGACTCTGCATCTGCTCTTCCAGGGCTGTGTGTCTGTAAAGACGACACACACATGCACAGCACAGTTAGAACAGGAAATCAATGAAGGCTCTTGTGAAATTCTGGGGTGGGTTTGGGGAGAAATGATTCAGTGATAAATAAATGAATTTTTCTTTCTCTTTGAAAGGATTTATAGAAACTTGACCCACTTCTGCCTTAAACTATGTAGATGCTTAGGCTTGAGTTTCCAAAGACACTTAAAATTCGGTTGTCAAATGTCATTGGAATGACACGAAGTTAAATTATTCTGCTGGGAAGCAAGGAAAATTGTCTCCATCCTGATACCCTTACTTCCAGACCTCTAGTAATCACTTTCCCGTAAGATTCTTTCAGAGCCGGTGGTGGAGAAGTCCCCAGGCGCAGCAAGCAATTCCAAGAAAAAGGTAGTAAACAAAGAAGGTGAAAACTTTACAATTTTGTTAGGTTTCTATATGCTCAATTGTCACAATGGCTGCTCACAACTCAAAGTTGGAATGACTTTGAGCCACCAGTGGAATGGCTTTGAGCACAGGGGAATGATGTGAAAAATATTTAAAGGGTCTATACTTTCCAAACTCAAATGAAAGCTGAAAAGCTGACGATTCTCACAAAGTCCACAAAAAAAAGTAATTTCTAGTGAATGAAAATATTTTTGATTTTTGAATACCAAAGTTACTTTCAAAATACAGACCAATCTTCTGCAATAAAATATTGTTTTAAAAATATTATTACCTTCCTAAAATTCTGTTCCAAAACGTTGAAATGAGACATTTGGATGTGTCAAAACACTTTCTCTAGTTTCCTGTTGGAAATTAATTACAGCAAAACAGATCTGACCTCATGTGCTTGTTTCAAACAAAATGCAGAGATGATTTTTGTTTCTGGTGAATGATTCTGTTTAAGCCTATGAGCAGATCTAATAAATACGTCACTGAGGCTGGCATTGCTAATCTATAGCTTCAAAAGTAGCTGCATTTAATCATTATAGATAAATTAAACCTGAATAACATAAACAACCTATAGGTTACCTCTTCTCCTTCTTCAATATGATAATCCTTCCTTTCATTTGGCCCTCCAACAAACATCACATTTAATTGATAGCGATGCCTGGAAAAGAAAGTGACATTTTGAAGCTACTTCTGTTCATGATGTTCTTTATTTCATTTATTATTTTTAATTCTTTTTAGGACAGTGAGTCAATGAAACAACTTTGAGTGGAAAGCAACAGCCAGTACATGAACTCATAGACCTTGGATGCTTCTCTCTCTGCTCTGGCACTGTCCTGTTGGGTGACCTGAGGCCAACTACCTCCCTCCTGGTGTTTCAATGCCTCCAGCTATGAAAAGGGGACAACAATAGCTGCCAGCTGTGAAAAGAGCTTTGAATTGAAAAGATAAAGAATGTTACCTAAGAGACAGGAACTAGAAAAGAGGCTTTTCAACCTGAGCTGATTATGTAAAGGTAAAACTCTTAAAAGTTAACAAAGGTAAAAACATACTTTTCCCCCCAACATTGGTAGACTTACCATCGATACTGATGGTAGGAATTGCCAGCTAATTTCTGTTCTGTTTATAATGGTTTTGCTAAGCTGGAATAACATTACAGTGGTTTCAGTGTGGTTGTGGCTATTTCAGAACAAGAGATTCCAGGCTTTTCTTAACTCTGCCCCTCTTAAGTGCCCCAGTGAGCATTCCTCTCAGCTATCACAAGGAAGGCTATCACCCCAACTACCTATCAGTCCATTCACACTAATAAAAAGGGAAGGTAGTAGGTTTTCCTTTGCTAAAAAAAACCCTCAAAATCAGGCTAGCTGTGAACCAAAATTTGTTCCTCTGCTGTTTGACAAGTGAACTGATGTGTATTAACCTCAGCTTTGCAATGAGGAGGTTCTGGGCAGTAACATGGAACCAGGAGGGCCATGATCCCCTGAAACACAGGGAACAACAACAACGTGTCCCTGTCAGCACCTTGTAAGCCTTAAATGAGAGACGCTGTTCTGAGTGGTGGCACATACATATTCAATTTGCTACCTTACCACTTTTTCCGTGAAGAGTATTTCAATGATAATGACCAACACAGTGGGGACTAGTAAAGCAGCTAAAAAGTAACAGTGACAAATTAGTTGGTCAAATAAAACCAAAGAATTAGAATTGACTGTTCTCTCCACAGGAAGCTGTATATTTTTTAGCACTGGGCTTCATATCTGTATCATAAAATAAGGAACTGAAATCCAAATTGTTTGTACCACGCAGATTTAATATTCATTTTCAACAGCACACTGTAATGCTACTGCTTTAATGAACACTTCTACTAAAGAAGGGCTGGATGACCCAAACAGCAGTAATACAGATAATAATTAATTAAATAAATTAAAATCAACGCTGAAGAATACAATAAGAGAAAGACAATCTGTGTTTCCTTGTAGTCTACTGTTAAGATGGGTTAGTTTGTTTTTTTTTCTAATAAACATTCAGTTTTGTTATTAGTTCACTAAGTAAAAGTAAAAATACTGCTATAAAACAATTACAGCTTGACTTATTAATTTGGCAAATCTACGATTAATTATCCCATAGAATTACCTGGGCTTTATAGAATAAACAGGCTATGGTTTAATCATTCCATCATTAACAAATGTATACTGACACCATCAAAAGATTCCAGCTATGAAATATGAGCCGGAACTCCAACAGGTAAGTTTGTCCATCTTGCTAAATAAAGTTATCTGGTTAATATAGTTGCTTTAAATATTTATTGTTATGAAATATCATAACAAAGAAAAGTTTCAGTTAAGACTACCAAAATGCAGTTAAGAGTACTGTAAAGGTTTCAGGGATGAGAAAATTACTTGACTGTACTGTTGTTAGAATGAGGACCTAATTAATGGACTATTAAGTTTTCCATAATGTTACATTTCTCTTCTCATCCTCATAAAGAAAATGGTACCAGCAGGTGACACTTCAAAAACATGATAAGGCTACAAAGAATCAGTGGGTTCATGGCCACACTTAATAGTCCTTTTGGTAAGCATCATATTCTGAACTCAGAAGAAGAGCTTTAGAAGCACCTACGAAAATCAACTGTGTCAAGGGGTTTCATTTTGCACTAATTGCTCATTGTGGAGGTTAAAAGCATTCAAACGTACAAGCTGGTGTCATTAAAACACAATGTCAGAACTGCAATTTAATTAGATGTATCATTTTCTTGACTTGGTAAAATTCTGAATAGGCACTAATTCAAGAACTGAGGTTTTGTGTTGCAATCCCAAATAGGTATTTAGAAATTGTGATCCTCTCAAATGTATGGAACACAATGTCATAAAAGCCTGAAAGCTGTAATAACTTCAGATACCAAAAGCCCTGCTGGTTTTGCTGTGAGACTTAGTTTTAACTGTTACGTCTTCTTGAAACAAAGTAAGTTAAATTTTGAGGTGGTTGCCTTGAATGAGGCAATAGGACACAGTGAGAAGATTGCCTTATACATCTCTACTGAGCACATAAAGGATCAAGCCTTTGAAAAAATATTGAAAATCTATTAGCTGCTTCTTGAAAAATCACCTAAAACCTTTTGGAAAATCCTGAAACACTTAGGTAGCACCAGGTGCAGGTGGTGGTAGACTCAGAATCCATGCAGTAGATGGTTTTACTCTCCTTCTACATAGGCTAAAACTATGTTGGAAAAATGGATTTTGTTTTAAACTATGCAATTTTTATTACAAAAAATGTTTATTGTTTCACTGTAGCTTCTTAAAATGTTTATGGGCAAAGGTCTATGATAGACGCCACACTGCAGATTTACTCAAGGTTTACACAGAACTACTAGTAAGCAGTACAGAACAGTGTAGTAAATACAAAGATTCATTGTACTGATAAGGAAAGAAAGACGTGTAAAATACTAAAATTTTCCCATTATCATTGGTAAGCTTCAGAAATGAATATACTTCATAAAATGCTTCCTAAATCCATTTTGGAAATGAAAGAAATGGGAACACTTGTAGTGATTCAAGCTTCAGAATTTTTCAGTTCTACACACAGCTGCAGTTTCAACACAGACATGGCAGTAAGGATGTACTCTTTACCTTTTCTTTGTCTTGTAACCATTACTTTGAAAAGTAACCCTTTCCCCGTGAATGGAAATTAATATTGCTGATACACTACTGCCCATTCACCTTTTCATTAGAGATAGCATTTAAGGGAAGGGCAAGAGGCATATTTTTTGATTTTTTTTTTAATGACTACAATGGTAAAGAAAGGTTTTTAAAGTTTAAAAAATGCTTTTTCATTTCTTTATAAAACCTGGGTCTATGTCACTCCTTAGAGAAAATACTTTCTAATGAAAGCTTTCTGCATACAGAGTTTTAGACAAAATATTTTCTCCTCAGCTTCACTGACAAAGAAATCCTTGTTAATATTTTGAGACACATTGGATAATTTACATTGCAATTTGTTCCTAAGCTTTGACACAGAGCATATGCATAGTGTACATACACCTGCATAATGCGCACACTTTTTTTCCTTTATCTGGCTGTCTCATTCAGAATACTGTAAATGGCTGTAAACTGTCCCTGCAGGCTCCCTACCCTTCCTCCAGGATCCCTACCCTCCTGCCTTGACAGATCTGGAAATCTGATCCTCTGGTACTGCTGCCCTTCCTTTTTCCTTGTTTTTGAGCGATACATCCTTCTGATTTTGATTGCTCCTGCAGCTTTGGCTCCTCTGTGATGTTGGAATGATTCTCAGCAGCTTTAGCTACTTCAGGTTGTTATTTGGTTTTGGATGTGATGCCATCTCTTCTGATTTCTAGGAGTTTGCTGTCACAGAGCCTGACACAAATTCTCTTAACTCAGTCTCCCTGCCTACAAGTAATTTTGAGTTGAGACAAGTATCTCATATTCAAGTTGATCTTTGCAGATTCTGCTGAGTTATTGCAAATCAGATTTCACTCACTTTCTGTTCTTTGGAACAGCACTCTGGCTGCAGCCTGAGAGGAACTATGGTTCCTTATTGATCTTTACCATGTATGCATTGTTGCAGCTTCCTCTTATAGCTAGGAATATTTGTATATATAACTTGGTAAAAAAACCAACTTCATTTACTTACATAAGCTTATTGCAAACAGGTGGCAAAAAGGCAGTTTTGTTTTCTTCTATCCATTTTCTTACATTCACAAGAAGCTCCATGGTCCACCACCTATGAAACTTTTGCTTGAGATATCAGAATTTGCAGAGTGCTTTTTCCGTGAGCAGGCTGCCTGTGATTCCAACCCCAGTGCTCAGGGGATTGGCTGGTAGGAGAGGTGTCTTCAGGCTTCAGTGTCAAAAGGGACAGGTCCATCAGCCAAAGGTTACTTTATAGGGAGCACTAATGCTCCAGCAGCTTGGCTAATAATTGACTAGTGTTTTAAAAATATCTATTTTTATTGGAGACTGGGTTTTGCCCACAAGGGGTTTCTTAATTGTCTTTACTGCATCTACTGGAGTGGGAATGTTACCTCTACAAAAATGGCCAGTCAGAAAAGCAGTCACAAAAAATGGATGAGGCTGGGGGATTCACTCCTTTCAAGTCTAATATAGAAACCTCCCTTCAACATTCTAAGCCTGAATGTTTGTGGTATATGTATTTGTTCGAAAATGCTGGAATCTTCTTTTGCCAAGTAGCCAAAATACTGATGTCTCCTGCATTTGTAAGACAAAGAGTAGCTGTCCATAAATGCTCATCTTAATTTGATCTGCTCTGCCAATGTTATAGCAGGGCTTGTAGAGAGCTGACCCTGATTCTGTGATGCCCTTTGGGAAAGTGCAGCATACTGCCATCAAATTGTCAGGCAAATAAGAAACTGAGAAGAACCAGACTTTCCAGATCTTTATTAGTCTTTATTCCCTCACAAGCTGCTGTTCAAGAGCTACACAGTTGCTATGGGACTGCTCACTCTGTTCCCTGCCACCCCCAATTTTTTAAATAAATAAATTTATAAACAGACTCCAAACACATGAGATGAGTGGGTAAACAAAAAAAAATCCCAAGACATTACAATATCTTAGCACTTTGCTCTTGACATATCTCAGTCTTCCACTTTTATCTACACTGTGCTTAGTGGGTGAATGTATATGGGTATAAGGTGATAAAATGACCTGGTTAAAAGTCAGTGGTACATTCTCCATGGCTTGCACATATGAGCAGTGCAGCTACAGGCCGGAAAGCTCATCATGATGAGCAGTACAAATCTGGGGGTTCTTTAACTCATACTGTTGTAATTTTCCACCAGAAGAAAGCAACAGAGTGTGACTTTGAATTAATACTGTGCTTTTATCAAGTATTTGTAAGAGTGACTCTGTTTTACCTTCGTCTCTAACACTTCTTTGCAGTTTAGTCTAAACTCATAATGTAATTTATAGAACAGGAAAAAATCTGTTCAAGATAAAAAGATTCACATGTGGATTTACAGTCCCACTGTATTAATACAATGGGACTAGCTGCAATTTCCTGTGAAATAAGCCCAAAGTAGTTATTATTTCATTCAATTGCAAAACACCACCATCACATCACTTATGTAGCAGGTGAAATTTCTAACAACAGAATGGCTGCGGTGAGGCACCACCACAGAGCAAACACATGAGGCCTGGTTTTGAACGTACGGACAGGTACACTTTGGTACTTTTTGTTCTGCATGCTGCTGGCAGTTCTGTTCTTTGCTGTGAAGGAAAGAGAGCTTCTATTTAAAATGCACTTTCACTTAAGGGATTATGACCCAGATTGGCAGGACTGGAGAAATGCAGACACTAGTTAATGACTGTGGTTTTGTAAAACTCTGCCTCATCATTAGAAACTTGTATTGCAGAGCAGCACTCGGTTTGTTGGGCATGAAAGCCAAGAGAATCTCCAGAGTCACAGTAGGAAAAAACACAGATCCTGGAATTGATTGAGCCAATCCTTGTTCATCATGGTATTAAAATACCAGTTTTAACTGCAGGGCTCTTGTCCACAACCACTGCTCTAATCCCTAGTCTCCGCTTTTTCCCACCAGGCAGAATACAAAGTACTATTACCTGCAGAGAAAACTTTCTCAGTTGCAGGCTCATAAATCCATTTTGTGGCTGGTATGAGGTATAGAAACCTGACAGTTAAACCTACTCAGGGAGGAAACAAAGTACACTTATAAAATTCACCATTAATATAAGGCTGAGGCTATTTTAGGGTAGCATTTTCTGCAACGTTCTGAAAGTCAGTAGGTTTTGAAAAATGAAGTTAATTGCCACTTGATGCATATAATAGTGGGGCTAATAAATGCAGATAACTGCAAGGTGTGGAACGCTGTGAAACTCTATTTCTGTGAAGTGTATTGGAGAGGCGAAGAAAGAACCAGTGTTGCAGTCTCTGAGACACCCAAGTAAACAAGTTCATCTCATACACCTAAGGAACTGATTGGGGCCTGGATTTTACTTGCTAGTCTGCTTCCTGATGGTTCTCCACATCCATCAAAGTCTGTTTCAGCACCTGGGGTTTGGTCTCCCTTCTGGCCCTGATCCTTCCTTTATGCAAAGGTAAGGACTCGATGTGTAACCTCTTGCTGCCAGAGAAGTGCAAGAGTACTGAAGCACAAAACTGCTATGTGAAAATAATTAGTATTTTGCATTGAGAGTACAGGAAAAAAGGGTTACTGGAAAAATCTGCATTTTGGAAAACACTCTATTTTTCTACCTTTCTCAGTCACCAAACCCATTAGAAACTTAAATTTACAAGCTTGTGTCCAGCAAGAAAAATATGTTAACAAAAACATACAAGTTAAATATTGACACTGGGCTATATACTTTTTAAACTACATTCTTGGTACTACTTCCCCCCCGCCCCCCCCAGCAATCTTTGTGTGATATAGGTTATTTTGTTACCATAATGATGTTAAGGATAATGAAGGCTGCTGCTGTTTTCTGGTATGCCACGGGTATACCTATATGATGGAAGATTTCTCTGAAGAAATGAACTGCCAGTTCTCTTCCCCATGCCAGACACCTTCATCAAGGATCACATACAGCATTTGAATGCTGTTTCACTTATTAATGGTGTATACCACTGAAATGTATTCTAGGTAATGCTCACAGAAATAACACCAACAGGAGAAAAACTTTCCTAGCAAGTGAGAAGCACCTCCTCTCTGTTCAAAAAGTGTCGGCTCATTTACCATGACATCATGGGGGAAGAGAGGTAGTGGTCACACTTGGGTTTAAGTGTCTGCTGATGACAATTATGTTACCATCTTTTTGCTACATAAGGTATGACAGATCTAACTGCAGAATAAATCCACGTTGGAGGTATACTTTAGCAACACACACGCAGTGTTGAACAAACTTTGTTTTGAGTGCTAGGCACCCCTCGTGTCTCACACAGTAGCGATGCTACAGATACCAACCATTAGTTCCCTGCCAGTAACTGCTCACTTTTCGCTGCGGTCTGGTCCTGAGCACGACCGGGGGTGCATCACCACCCCACGGGAGGCTGAATTCGCTGACGCAGCGGCCCAAGCCTGTATCGAAGGCCGTCAGGAGGTTCGATCTCGCACGACTCGGGGCCGGGCTCCGTCTGTCTCGCCCCGGAGAACGGAACTGCGAGGACGGCTCCAGCCCGCGGCTGCCGGAGGGCGGTCAGGCCGCGCTGCTGCCGCCTGTCACCTGCCACGGTCGCCCCGCCGCGCCCGCAGCCCCTCCGGCTCGGCGGCGGAGCGGGGCCGGGCTCTGCCGCACCCCCACAGCAGCCTGCCCGCCCGCCCGCCCAGCGTGCAGGCCGGGCGGGAGGGCTTTGTCCGGGTCTCGCCGCCGCTCCTGTCTCCCTTGCTCGCGGGCGCCGCCTTCCCTGAGCGGTGCAGCGTCCTCCAGCTCCGTCATGCCTTCTCCGCGCCGCTAACGGGGTAGCGCGGCCCGGGCAGGGAGCCGGGGCGGCCTTGGGCCGCCGCTCAGCGCAGGGTGCGGGCGGGAGTCAACCGGGCTTCCTCCGCCGGGGCCGGGCGAGTCCTTGATAAAGCGTTCGGGACGAGTTGGTGTCAGGGCTCCAGTGGCGCAATCGGTTAGCGCGCGGTACTTATACAGCAGTACAAAGCCGAGCAATGCCGAGGTTGTGAGTTCGAGCCTCACCTGGAGCACACAGCTTTTTGGGAGGGAAAACGGGCTTTTTTTGGGCCTTGGCGGCGGTCGGGAGGGAAAAGGACAAAAGTGCGGAGAAAAATTATGCAGCCCTGGCGGCAGCGTGCACTCGCTGGAGCATGGCGCAGCGCGCATGGGGAGGTGACAGCAGCAGCGCCAGTGCCTAGGTGCCACCTGTGTTTGTGTGTGTGCACACAGTGACTTGTCCGCCCTGAAGGGGACAGGATTCGTGGCACCTTGTTACTGCACAGAAAAAAACATGTTACTCTTCGGAGCTGCTTGTGGGTGAGGAACTGTAGGAAATAAAGGTTATTTTATACTGTGTTGTTTCATACAGAGTGTTTTAAGTAAATGCTCCACTGGCGTAGCCGCTGCAACTCAGTGGTGATAACATATCTCTGTTTTGCCTCCTTTGGTGGTGACAGTCTTTGTAACTGCTCATTGCGTGGGTAATGTTTAACAAATGCACACACTGCAGCAGGAAGGAAAGTATTTCAAATGATTTCTGATTTCACCACTCAAGAAAGGCAGCGGGACCGTGGGAAAAGGGCAGCTCTGTAATGGAGAAGGTTGCAGGACACTTCCTGGATGTTTAGGCCCAGATCTTGTGAACTCCACTCTACGTTAACATCTAGTCTGCTGCTTTCACAGTGCAGTTTATAACAAAAAGTTCAAAGAGGCCCTTGAGATCATGCAGCCAGAGATGTCTCTATTGCCCATATCAGCCATTTATCTGTACTGCAGGCATTAACTCCTAGAAGTGCCACTTTAAGGCTCTTAATTATCCCTTTTTCTGTCTTTTGGTTACCTCTGTCCCCTGTGAATTTTGCATTAACTTTACTGCTTTCAGTGTTGGAGTGGTAATCCCTGAAGCAGGTGCCATAGTGGTATAAGGATGTGTAAGTGAACAGGAGACATCTGTAATGTATCAAAGGATGAATAAAATTAATCTTTTGCTTGCAGTGGGTTTCATGCTTTCTTCTTCACGCCAGGATATCCATGTCCCAGTGCTGAAGACTACAGAGGAGTATTTGGACAAGTATTGGGAATATTAAAAAGTGCTGCTTTTGTGTAACTGGGGAAAAACAACCCAAGCCACAAATCATTAGAAAGGGAGAGGGACTCCATTCCTTGGACAGAGACCTCTTAAGAAACTGTGTGGGAACAGTGCTACTTCCTTTTTCTCTTCCGTGGTGGGTCCCCAGGAACAGGCAACAGCTCCTGCACCTTCCTGCCAAGGAGGAACTGCTAGTTTGACATTTGGGGTCTTGCTCTGGCCTGCTGGGCAAGTGATTATACCATTTTTGCCACATTCAGGGTGTGTGAAGCAGATTGTTCGTTACCTGCACAGCTGTTTTGTGACATGCCTCCGTGGTGCCGGAGAGCAGCCAGGACATGCAGTGGGACCATTAACTGCTGTGACCCTCTGCAAGATCTCCTTCATCCGCATAGTCTTTATCTCGCTGAACGTTTTTTTTTTTTATTTTTGTCTTGACTCTGGAACAAAAGTAAAAAGAAGCAATGGCTTTGTGAGGTGACTTTTGTGTTTCTGCCCCTTCAGATGGGTAGACACCTCTGCCTGACACCTGAAGGGCAGCATGTTCCAAGACGGGCGTTTCACACCGAAAATCATGCTAAATCAGGAAAATTTATGTGGATTGACTGGAAATCCCAGGAAAATGAGAATGAAATGAGAATGTTGTTTATCTGATGGCTGTTTATGACATAAAGTGACCGGCTGCTAAAGCACGAGGCCTTCCCCTGGAGGCAGGGCTGTGAGGTGTGCTGAGCCCTGGTGCTGCTGGCTGTGGCACCTCTCTTCCCACCCATCCCATGGCTGCAGTGGGGCTGGCCCGGCTGGAAGGGTGCCGTGCTGGGGTGAGCTCAGTGATTCCGCCTCATTCCCTTCCGCAGGGGCTGCTGTGGGAGGAGGTGAGCTGTGTGCCCCTGGGAGGGGATGAGAGTCAGACCCGGGCAGGTTTTCTCTGCGAGGGCATGTGAGGAGCTTCTTGTTGTGTGATGCTGAGCTGGGCTCCAGCATGGCCACAGCAGCTCTCGTGAGGTGAAATGAGGAGGGCCCTGGCCTGTTGCTTGCATTCGCAACTTTTTCCTCAAAATTAGGTGTCTTACAGGCTTATGAGAAGAAGGTAGTTTTTTATTAGACTAGGTTGTTTTTTTGTTATGCATTTTGGTCCTGATTTGTTGGGTAATGCTCTAATGCTACTTGGCAGCAGCTTATGTATAAAAACGTGTATATACATTACATATATCAGTGTGTGAAGACACTTTCTCACCACTATGGGAGAATTCCCAAAGTCTGTGTGTTGACTAGCTTATTTCCTAAATCTTATGTGTAGCCATGTGATATATTTGGAAAACATCTGTGTGTGAGGGATGAAAAATGCCACCTGCGCTGCAATCTAGGGGGAGGAAATTCCGCCTCTTCCCCAAACAGTAACGAGGTTCACCTGTGCCTTGTTTTCCTTTTGAAAGCCAGGTGCCAGAGCTTGTGCTCCTTTCTTGAGCCACTGCTCGTCACTGCTCTTGAGGTGGTAACAAGGAGAGTTCTGGTCTCAGCCTACTGTCACCTAGCAATGGACTGTCATGGGCTCTGGATGCTTCTGGAAGTGTGTTCAGGAAGAAAGACTTCCGCATGGTGAGTCTTCTATGCTGCCTGGCTTATCTAGGGGCCTGCCTTTTTTAGCCTCTCTTTCTCTGTTTAATTGCCTGGTGTGGATGTCATGCCTGCAGGTCTGGATCTCCCAAACTCCTCTGGAATTCTTCTGGAATCCTTTTTAAAAAGGTCCCTCTTCTTAAAATTTGTCTTGCTCTTTGTTTAATGCTGGGTATGGACTGTGAGTGCTCTACAAGCTTATTTTGGCTGCTCTGAGTTCCCACTGACTGCTTATAGGTGTAGGAAAGCTTGATGTGTGCTGCTTATTGATGGAAAAAGAATTTTCAAAGACGTATCTCTTGCCTGATCTTGGAGGATTAATAGTGATCAGGTTAGGGAGAAGGGTTTGTGTTTATCCCTGTGTGATCTCTCTCAAACAGGGAGCCCCACTGCAATGGCAGATGTAGGATTAAGAAAGAAAGGCTTATGCAGAGTAGACCTCCCTGATGCTCATTTCTAAGAGTGTCAATTCTGGTCTCTGGCATGTTAGTACAGTTGTGATTGTGAGGTTCTGAAGTGTTTGCTTAAGTTACTTTAAATATAAAAGTCTGGAATTTTCCATAATATTGAAGTTTTCATATCCTAGCAAATACCTATAAAAGCCTATGGTAAGGACTTGGCCTACCTAATTGTTATGAAATCAAAGTAATAAATACTCGGAGTCTTTGCAAATAATAAACACACAGTGTTTGCTCTTTACGGCTTTTCCCAGTAGATGGCACTGTGGTCCCACAGAGCGAAAAAGAGGAAAGCAAAACATTCCCAGACGTCCTAAAAATAGAAACCACTTGCTGAATGCCCTGTTGTGCACGGTGGCGAACAATAGGTCAAAATTTCAAAGGTTGCTTAGAAAACAAAGTCCTCTGGAGGTATAGTTGCATTTTGGTTTTGTTTTGGGTTCCACCACCACCTCTGTACATAACAACTTGAAGAGCTTTCTGAAATTAAAGTCTATTGATCTGTTGTGTTTGGAGTGACAGAGGTGAAGGGGGTGTATCATGGTTTTTTTAAGTCTCTATGAATTCAATCCTGTGTCAAAGTTCCAGTATAGCAAGCATAACTTAGATACTCTTAAACAGTTTTTTTTTTTTTTTTTTTTTGTTTTTTTTTTTTTGCGGAATAACTGGCGTTAGAGGTTTTCATGCACAGCTGCCTGTTGTCCAGATGGCTGCTTCCCACTGTGAAGAGGAGCAATTGGCCTTGGAAAGAGTAGTTGGGAGGAGAGGAATGAAGTGTAGGTGCTTGCAAACTGTGTGGAAGAACTCTTAAACCAAATACAAATACTCTGCTTTTGTGGAGAAAAGATAACGTAAGAGTGGTGAGAAAAGGAAAATAAAAAATCATGTGGAAGCCTCCTTGAGAAAGACAAGGGCTGAAAGATGAGGGGGACAGTGGGGCTGATGCAGGCTGATAGAAGGTGGAGAAGTGAGAAGGACTTGTAAGAGGAGTAGAAATGCATTCTGCATTGCTCTCTGAAACTAGTGAAAAGGATGCTATAAAGAGGAAACTAAAAGATAGAGGATATGGGCACAAAGAAGGAGAAAACAGAAGAGTCAGACAGAAAAACCTAGGTAAGGAAGTTCTTAAAAAGAATTTAAAAAAAAAATCCTCCTGTCTGGCTATAGCTGCATGAGTGTGCTGCCTAGGACAGTGAAAAACAAATGAGTAAGTGTTAGCTAGTCAAGCCAAGCTAAGATGGAGTTGCTGTAGAAAGCAAATAGGCCTGTCCATTTTGCTTGAGCAAACAGAGAACTCAAGAGGCAAGTTTTTCTTCTCTGTGTGTTTTGAGTGGTTACTTTAGTGTGGCAATATGGTCTCCCTGGGGTTTGAGGCTGGTGTTGGGAGGGTTAGAGAGCTCAGCTTTCTGGTTTGGAAAAGGAAGGAAATGGACAATCAGTCCTGGATTTTGTGCCCATTTAATTTTCTTGCTTGTGCTGAGTTTGCTGTGTTAGGCTCTGCTTTT